CTGTTTCGCTGCTCTTAGATGATCTACGATCTAAGAGCAATCTGCAAAATCTATCGCTACTATGTCCTCTCTGGTTGAGCGAATAGAATATCTCCAATTAAAACATGTTTTTGAAACAAGATTAAAGCAAAATCATAATCGGTGCTGCGGTATTTATAGAAGAGCAGATTTTTGTTCTTCACGTTTTCTTTTGAACTTCGACCTTCTGCAAGATTGCTCGAACACCCTATGCTGCTGCCGCTTCCGACGAATACGATTTTCTATGTTTTCAACGTTGTTTGCTCGGATGGGTAGAAGGTAGAAGAGTGCTCTGGCCTTAGAAGTGCTCCATACCCGGGGCGGAGCCAGTACTGGGCCGGTACAAAAAATATTTTTGGAAAAAAAATTCACCCCATGAATTTTTTACACTAAAAGTATAGAGATTTTTAAAATTGGGGCGGGACAAGGGTCAGGGGTAGCCACCCCCGCCCCTGTCCATACCTGTTCGTTTTTCTTCGGGAAAAGGGGCAAAACCCCCCTGAAGTTATCACCAAAGGGCACTTAAGCCCTTAAACTTTAGGAAAATGCTAGGGGTACACAAGTTGTACACAACTTGTACACACAATGTCGGTCACAGACAATTGGTACGGAGTTGTCTGTGACCACAGACAAGAGTTGTTTGAGTACACAGACAAATTTTGTCTGTTTTCACAGACATTTACTTTTTTGTGAAAAGTACTTGTCAGTGTCAGGCGGCTCTCAGTGTACTTTTTACAAAAAAGTAAATGTCTGTGGAAATAAACAAAATTTGTCTGTGTACAGACAACTCTTGTCTGTGGTCACAGGCAACTCCGTACCAATTGTCTGTGACCGACATTGTGTATACAAGTTGTGTACAACTTGTGTACCCTATCATTTTCCTAAACTTTATATTTGTGCAAAAAGCTTTTAGAATGTATGAAAAGAGAGCAATTTCCCCCTTTGCTTAACGGTTCATATGCAACTACCGTTAAAGGTTCTCCATTGGCTACCATGTGTACGTACTCCGTATAAAACATGAACCGTGCAAGAAGTTGCTTTTTTTATTAAAATATTCAATTAGTAAATTAGTAAATAAATTAGTAAAACATGAATCGTGCTTTTTTATTAAATACTTCGTATTCAACTACTGTTCGAATTTACATCAAATTATTAATTTACAAAATTAAGTTATCATGATGTAAATTTTGAACACAAAATTACAGTCACTAATAGTTACGTAGTATTAAGCAATACTTTTATTCATGACTTTTTATTAGTAATTAGTAATAATTAAGGAAAACACCCTTTTCATAATTACAATAGCAAATCAATTACTAATCGACTTATTAAGGCCTAAGTGTTCGTTTGGTGATTTCTAATTTTTGGCTTATCAGAATTATAGGTCAACTCTTTCACCAAACATGTAACTTTTAATTTAGTGCACTGAATTGTGTAATAATAAGAAAAGGTGAGGTTGAAGTTACTTTTCTGGTTGAATTGGTTGAAATTGTCGTAGATGATGATTTTAGTCGTTTTTTCATATAATTAATTTTTTCTTTATTTTATTAATAAAATATATTTTAAATGTAGCTTTTCCATAAATGATCCTATTTATCCAATACTACCAATTTGTGTATTACCAAACGGACTCTAAAAGTCACTAAATTTCTATTATGTTCTTAAAAAAGAAATAAAATCGAACCAAACTAAAATATTTCATTAATCTTTAATATAATTTTAGAACATCACAAATCCAAATCAAATCAAATCAAACTGAGACATAGTACTATGTGTGATTTTTCTTGGTTCGCAGGCAGCGGTATAACCGCATCAGACCATTATACCGGTATAATATTAAGAAAAGTTCTCATGACTTATGAATACCACTGGCAGATAAGAAAATTAATTCAAAAACCAATTCTTTATCTCGATATGATTTATGTGGTTAAACAACGCATAAGTTATTTAAACAGTATTAGTGGATAGGTACCTTTTAAACTCTTTATTTTCAAATAATTTGATCAAATTTTATCCTTTTTATTTTCAAATAATTTTCCTTTGATTTGTCATTTTTACGCTTTAATGTACCAATACTTTTTTCTGGAGAACTTCAATTATAAAATCAAAGTTATTATTTCTATGGTGAAAACTTAGAAAGTAATAGATTTAGATGTCATGTATGTATTAATGGTTTTTTTTAATATAAATTAGCCGCAATGCCTACACAAGCCCCCCCCCCCCCAACACTAGCAAAACAAATTGCCCCGCTACACCAACGATAAAAATTTTGTCCCCTTGACTTGAAATCCTGAATCGTCTCTGACTTCGATCCCTCAACCCTAAATTATCTTTCAAAGTGGGTTTTGCACGGAAATTAAGAAAGTGAAATATTGTGTGTTGGAGAGTTGCACCAAAGAGAGATAAATGTGTGAGATTGTGTAAAACATATTGTAAACCATAAATTGTTTGCCTAAAAATAAAAAAAAAATTATTTTGGGATGGATGGAAAAAGAAATTTGAAAGATTACAATGAGACAAATTTTAAATTATGTTTAAAAAAAATTAATACATTAATAAATAAGATGTAGTCAAAGTAGAATATATGAATAGTGTAAAATTCTACTCGTAAATATTACATTTATTTAAAAAACTGATGAAATTTGTCTGATTCGAGTACTAGCTGAAATTATAATAAAAAAAATAAAGACACTATGAGGATACAATTTGTTATGCATGGTCATAATAACCCAAGAGCAAATATACTATACAACGTACGGAGTACTATGTAGTTGCCCACTACATACACGGTCATAGCCAACTCCGTCACTTGACTCACCGTTAAGGGGGTGATTGCCCTCCTCTTTGTGATTTTATAGCTTTTTGCACACAAATAAAGTATAAGGGCATAAGTGCTCTGAGGCCTGCTAGGGGTACACACTTTTTGTACACAACAGACAACTCATCTCGCGACAGACAATTTGTCTGTGGGAGACAGACGAGTGTACACTTTTTGTGTACAAAAAGTAAGTGTGTACCCCAATCTTTTTTCTAAGTGCTCTATGGGAACAACTTCAAGGGGCTTTTTGCCCCTTTTCCCTTTTTCTTCGGTAGATTACTCCACAGGAAAAAATTTATGTGACAGACATGTGTACACATTTTGTGTACCTTTAGCAAAATTAAACCCCACTCCATAGAGTTAAGATTAGATCGTCCCATGTGCTCTGTCGGGTCGGGGCGTGGGGGGCGCTTGGGGTTGGCGATTCAACCTTTTGGAACTGAGATTAGATCTTTCTGATTTACTATTTTTGTTTCCCCTTTAAAATGGATTCATTAGAGCATCTCCAATACTAAAACGTTAACGGTGCATACGAGACATGAGAAATAATCAATTAAAAAACAATAAATACAATATCTCTCTCCTTTCCACGGTCTTATGTGTTTATGGTAAGTTTTTGTTTGCAATGTCAATCACAATGTCTACATCTAGACATTGTGAAGAAAAGCTTACCAAAATAATGTAAGATCCTTCAAATAAGGAGAGAAAGATTGTATTTATTGTTTTTTAATTGGTTATTTTCCATACCACGTATGCACCGTTAACGTTTTAGCATTATAGAAAATTAGAGGCAGGTTATGAACTTCCTTTGAGGATAGTTCAATCCGCCAAGAACTCAAGAAGTTAAATTTGGTATAAAAATCCTTTTGAAGACTTAATTGTAATTTGATTAATTGAGTTCCTAAATTCTTGATACACTGTTGCGATGCGTACAACAAACTCAAAAAGACCAATCCTGACAAAAACTATCTCTAACCAACTATCACAATCAACCATACGGCTAGACTCTGAGACGATCACCCCTGAAAGAGCAATATGAATCGTTAACCACCAAGCGGGTGTGACACATCAATTACTGACCATATGGATCCTTCTTCTAATTACATACTCTGTAATATCTAGCAGAATTGACAATCATTATTGTAGACCTAGAACTAAAGTTTTCAACAAAAAACGAAACACCGTAAACAAACATAACACGAAAATAAGACCATAAAAAATAGAATAATTGACAAATACTCCAAACTTCTTTCTGACTGTTTTCTTGAAATATCATCTTCCAAATCTCGACATCTTGATCAATCCAAGGCGGCGATTCAGGAGGGGGCGGACCGCCGGTCTGTATTCTCCCTTACTCAGCCCTTCGTCGCTCCCGATCTTTTCATTACCCGTGCTGAGGGCCGGAACCAAATCTTTCAACCATTGATCTGTGGCTAGTTTGCCAATACCGCCGCCTCTTGTTTGCTGCATTCCATTGATGTAACACCGTCCCCAAATATATTTACTTTTATGTAAATAATGTATTGAACCTTCTTAAAGAATTAATGAATTTACGAAGTTGTAAATTTTTATTATTTCTTTCGCGTGAATAGTAAATTGCACGTGGGACCCACACCGGGAGCGGGGGCCGCCCGACACTCCCGAGACCACATATTTTATTCATCTCAGTCAAGATAATATTTATATAGTGGTGGATATTTTATTTGGGTCGTGGAAAGGCGCAGAGTTGACCGATTGGGAAAAAGAGGTCCAATTACCGGTACCGATAATTTGTCAGATAACAGCCCGAACTGAATTTCGGAGGCTTATAAATTAAAGTTGGGGGATGTATATTCATTATACATGTAATAATGAGTAAGAGCACATAATATATTTTATTTGACCCGATAAAATAAAATATATTTAAAACAGTCCGAAAAATACAACTTTCGGGACCAATTGTACACACCGGGACACAAAGGGATGACCTCCCACATGAGTGGGGGCCACCCCACGTTTTTGTGTGCTCAAATTGACCAAAGGAAGGCCAATAGTACACATGATGGGAGGGTGAGACATTGAGAGACACCCAAGGGGTCCCTCTCTCACTTATTAGCTAAATGAGACAAAAACAACCCATCCCCCCTCCTTCCTCCTCATTGTGCTCGCCCAAGACCCCAAGAAAGAGGAAGAAAAAGCTCTCCAACCCTCCTCCATTGCTGCAACTCGAGCTCAACCAAGAAGGGTCCAAGGAGTGGGATTAAAGAAGGAAAAAGGCTAGGAAAAGTGTGTAAAATTAAGGTAATAACCTTATTATAACTTTTCCTTTATTTTCCTTCTATCATATGAGGTATATATCATGTAAAGGACCCTTAGTATGATTCCACATGTTATAAGTATGGATTTATGGGTTGGAAGGTGGTTCTATGTCCAAGAACGGACTTAGAAGCCAAAACGACCGGTTCACCGGAAAATAACCTTTTTGAGGTTATTGGTATTAACATGGGTTTTATGATTATAAAACCTTGTTAGGAACTTGTAAAGGGTGTTTCAAGTGATTTCACAAAGTTGGAAAAGTCGCCGGAATTGTCGCCGGAGTTGACCAAAAGTCGCCGGAGTTTCACCGGAGTTCAACCAAGAAGGGTAGAACTTCATACGCTAGTTCAAGGTGAGTGGACGGCTTAATATCTTATAACTTTTGGGTCAATTATGAGATTACCTAAATAAATGTTATATGAATTCATAATAATGTTTAAAAGATATTTAAACATGTGATTAGCCAATAGGGTTAAGCTTTGTATGAAAGGAATTAATTATTTATGCATGGAATATAATATGAGAAATTATATATATATATATATATATGCATATTTGCTTTAAGAGTAAAAGAAGCACAAATGGATATTATTAACTTAATTATATGATGAATTAGTTAATAAGTGTAAGATTTGAGATGGCGGTCGACAACAACGTTGACCGATGGTTAATGGATTAATTAATATCGGTTGATGTTAGTTAATTATACATTTATATGGTTGCATGGATTTGCATGGATTGTGATGCATAAGCCTTATGTAGTGAATTAGTTATGAATGACTAAATATGATATAGACCCTATCTAGCGTGATATGTGGTAAGTCATAGGTCGGGTGGAGTACCCAAGGATCGGGCGGTTATCCTCAAAACTCGGCTATATAGGGTGGAGTACCCAAGGATCGGGCGGTATCCTCAAAACTCGGTTATATAGGGTGGAGTACCCAAGGATCGGGCGGTATCCTCAAAACTCGGTTATAGGGTGGAGTACCCAAGGATCGGGCGTGTATCCTCAAAACTCATAGATTACATTTAATGATCTAGGACCGGGCGGTGTCCTTATGATAATTTATTTGAACAGGGAGGAGTTCTATACACTCATAGGTATATGGGTGGGTTGGGATTTAAGTCAAGGACATTGGCTACTATTATTTTCCCAAATAAACAATGACCTACGGGTCGGGTATTTCCAAGTGTATGTATACTAATATGTATTTCAAACTTGGGGGAAGGACTATACGTATATGTATCATCCTATGTTTGGGTCTTATACTTGAAACGCTAGTTATTCTATATTTAGCCTGCTACTCGCTCGGTACTTGTACTGACCCCTTCGGGGGGGCCCACCATTTTCAGGTTGAAGCTAGGGCTTGCTACCTGCACCTTTTTACGGGTGACATCAAATCAAGGAAGACGTGGTTCGTGCTTCCTCATTTTATTTCAAATTTCCAAACATTGCTCATGGATATTTTTATCTGTTATAAACTATTCTTTTGGGGCTTGCATGCCCATGTTATTGGCCGGTTGTGGCTTATGACTTACCGTTGAATATTTCCGCTATTCATTGGTTTAAATGTGATGTTGTTATGTATGTTTACTACTGAGTATGGATGGATTATTTTTCTCGAACGCCTTGTGTAATCAAGTGAGGTTGACTCGCGGGTGACGTCACTTGATTATACGGCGGTTGTACACGCGCTTGGATTGCGGTCTGGGGCGTGACAATTAAGTGGTATCAGAGCCATCTCAGTTCTAAACTTTATAATCAACCTCTCACATGAGATTTTACAAAAGAGTTTTTACCGAAAACCATGGGCATTGTATTTTGACGTTTATGGGACTATTGGAGCTTAAGTTGCAAGGCCTCTAATTGTTAAGACGGTACCCTTAACAATTGGTATGGTGGTGACTTGGGCCAATACGTGTCTGTAGCGTTCTTCCGTCAATTGACATTCACATTTATAGGAGTCTAATGACTCATCCATTTTCCTTTCAGAAATGGAGGGCAGGCGAATGCGGACCAGGAACAACCCGAGGGGGCAGGCGCCGGTAACATCCCAAAGGGGAAGCCGGGCTGCATCTCGGGGTTCAAGAGGAGGCCGTGGAGGCCGTGGAAGCCGTGGAGGTCATCAAGCTCAAACTGTGAGTGATGGCCATGTAAGCTCGGTGTATGAAACCAACACCGAGGACTATGACTCAACCTACGTTCCGGAAACGGAGCATGAGGAGACCCCGTATGATGGGGGTGACACATACACCGATGATGACGACGAAGAGAGTGATGCCAAGTTCGCTCAAATGGGCGAGTTGCTTGAGTGGTATCAAAAAGAAAAGCTGAGGAGAGACCTTAGGCGCCAAGCAAGGCGTGGCTCTCGTGGTGGTTCGGGTCAAGGGAGTCGGGGAGCTTCCGTGGCCACCCCAGCGGCGCCACAAGGTGGGCATGAAGGAGGTTTTGTGGTAAGAATCTCCAAATACCTCAAGGAGGCTAGGGCCTTGGGGTGTAGGTCCTTTGACGGCACCGGCGACATTACCGTTGCCGCCGATTGGATCAAGAAGGTGAAGGATGCATCGAGAGACATGCAGATTACTCCGGACGTGAAGCTAACTGTCGCTTCACGGCTACTTGAGGGGATGGCTTCTACATGGTGGGAAGGTGTAGAAGGGAAATACCGTGGGGACATCTCATGGGAAAATTTTGAGCAAGAATTTTATGCTCAGTACTACTCCGATTTCGAGGTTAATGTGAAAAGGAGGGAGTATACCAACCTCAAACAGAAAGAGGGTTGCACAGTTAAGCAACTGGAGCAAGAGTTCAGGACCTTGGCTAGGTTCTTACCGGAGTATGCGATCAATGAGGACCGCATGACTGAGCACTTCTGGGATGCCTTACTCTTGGACATCCGAGACCGTGCCACGTATTCCCGCCTCATGACCTTTAGTGAGGTGGTAGAACAGGGCATGCTTGGAGAGGCCCAGTGGAATGAGAGGAAGGCAAGGGACGCCGAAGAGGCGAAGAAGAGGAAGTGGAATAATTCGGGGCCACCCGATCATTCTCGAAGGAACAACCACGGGGGTGGTGGTGGTGGCGGTGGTTCATTCAAGGCGCCGGCTCCACCGGCGAAGAAGAATAGGGATGCGAGGTGGCACGGACCTAGGCCACAGAACTCGGGGCCACCTAGATGTCCCAATTGCTCAAAACAACACTTTGGGAAGTGCAATGAACCACCGAGGTGTTTTAAGTGCGGGAATGCGGGCCATATGAAGGCCAATTGCCCTCATTTGATGCAAGAGAGTGCCTCGGGAGCTGGGGGAGGGACCATGACGGGAAGAAACCGTGCGGGCCCGTCAAACGGCGGTACGGGAAGAGGCAACGCATCCACAAGTCATGCCGCGTCCGTAAACCAAGGCGGGACCCAAGCACGAGTCTACGCGATGACCGAGGCGGATGCGAGAGCAAACCCGGACTCCGTTGCAGGTAATACGCGTATTCCCATGTATTTCTAGGTTTACTTTGATCATATACGTCGTTGGGATTGAGTGCGGGCCACCCCGGGGTCGAACCGGGTGAGTTAGGCCGAATCGGGCTGGAAACAGCCACTGCTGGCCAGGCACGCCCGCAGGCACGCCGTGCCTGGAATCGTGCCTGGAAGGCAGTGGCACCCGAAGGAAGAAAAAAAAAAAAAAAAAAAAAAAATTTGGCCAGGCACGGCCGCAGGCACGCCGTGCCTGGCGTCGTGCCTGGAAGTCAGTGGCGTCCGAAAAATTTTTGGCCAGGCACGGCCGCAGGCACGCCGTGCCTGGCGTCGTGCCTGGAAGTCAGTGGCGTCCGAAGAATTTTTGGCCAGGCACGGCCGCAGGCACGCCGTGCCTGGCGTCGTGCCTGGAAGTCAGTGGCGTCCGAAGAAATTTTGGCCAGGCACGGCCGCAGGCACGCCGTGCCTGGCATCGTGCCTGGCCGGCAGTGGCCAGCAGGGTGAGTTTGTTGCACGCACGGCCGTGCCTGCCACCCAGGCACGCCGTGCGTGGACCCCCAACACCCGAAAGTTGATTTTTTGCCCCGTTCTTCTACGTTTGGACCCCCGTTTGGTTCCAAACATTTGTATAAACCTAATAACATCCTAATGACGTGTAAAAACATTAGAAAATGTATCTTACATGGTGTATAAATGTAGGAACATTAAAGATCAATGGTAGATGTGCGAGGATCCTCATCGATACCGGGGCACAACGCTCATTTGTGAGTGAGGCGTTCGCTGAGGGCTTTGACGTGCCATTGACACCTATGACTCAAACGTTGCTAGTCTCCACACCGTTAGGAGACGACGTGGAGAGAAATCATTACTATCCGTCGTGTGAGGTAGAAGTGACGGGTCAACCTTTGACTTGTGATTTCGTACCTCTAAGCATGTTGGAGTTCGATGCAATCCTAGGGATGGATTGGCTCGAGAAACACCATGCCCGGGTAGATTGCTACACCAAGGTGTTGGAGCTCGAGGATGATCAAGGGAACACGCTATGTTTCGAGGGAGATCGGGGGAAATCTAATGCTTGTATCATATCCGTGATGAGAGCACGAAAGATGATGAGGAAGGGATGTCACGCATACCTTGCTTATGTGGTAGATGATACGAAGAAAGAAGTCGACATCAAGGATGTACGGGTCGTGTGCAAGTACCCGGATGTCTTTCCCAAAGACCTACCGGGGCTTCCACCCGATAGAGAGATTGAATTTGTAATTGAAGTGGAGCCGGGAACCAAACCCATTTCGATTCCTCCTTATCGAATGGCACCGGCCGAACTTCAAGAGTTGAAGGTCCAACTACAAGAATTATTGGACAACGGATTCATCAGACCCAGTCATTCACCGTGGGGGGCACCCGTACTCTTCGTGAAGAAGAAGGATGGTACACTAAGAATGTGTATTGACTACCGACAATTGAACAAGGTCACAATCAAGAACAGGTATCCCTTACCGAGGATTGATGACTTGTTTGACCAACTTCGGGGGGCAATAGTGTTCTCGAAGATTGATTTGAGGTCGGGGTATCATCAGTTGAAGATCAAGGAGAGCGACATACCTAAGAGTGCATTCCGCACTAGGTATGGTCATTATGAGTTCCTTGTAATGTCATTCGGGTTAACCAACGCACCGGCGGCATTCATGGACTTGATGAACCGAGTGTTTAGTGAATACTTGGATCAATTTGTGATAGTATTCCAAAATCTGTATCACCCGCTCGGACTGTCCAAGTGTTAAGTGAGGGTGATTGTAATACCCAAGATTAATATAAAAGGATTAATAGTACTACTCACACCAACAGAGGTGCATCTCCTTTTAAGGAAGCTCATCACCCAAGAACTCCAAAGTTAAGCGTGCTTGCACGGGAGTAGTCTTGGGATGGGTGACCCCCTGGGAAGTTTCTCAGGGCGCGCACGAGTGAGGACAAAGTGCGCGGTAAAGGCTCGTGGTGGTTTGTGGGGACAGTACTATTGGTCCGGAGTAACTACCTCGGGTCCGGTGGGGCCGGGGTGTTACAGGTGGTATCAGAGCGACCCCGCGACAGTGTGTTGACCCGTTGGATATCGGGCGGGCACTTAGCGGGGGAAGATTCTGGGATTTGATTGAGATTTGAGATTGGTTCAAGGGCGCAACGAGGACGTTGCGATCCTAAGTGAGGGTGATTGTAATACCCAAGATTAATATAAAAGGATTAATAGTACTACTCATACCAACAGAGGTGCATCTCCTTTTAAGGAAGCTCATCACCCAAGAACTCCAAAGTTAAGCGTGCTTGCACGGGAGTAGTCTTGGGATGGGTGACCCCCTGGGAAGTTTCTCAGGGCGCGCACGAGTGAGGACAAAGTGCGCGGTAAAGGCTCGTGGTGGTTTGTGGGGACAGTACTATTGGTCCGGAGTAACTACCTCGGGTCCGGTGGGGCCGGGGTGTTACAATTGATGTACGTTAGATCTGGACTATCACAAAAAGAATGACCGAAATCGACCCCGCTCCTGGGCGCAAATCGATAGCAGACGAACGACTCTAGCGGTAGCACCTCACGACGAACCCAGAGAGATATGTATCCGGATATTTTGAAAGAGACGAAAATCAGAACGTGAGAAATAGCTTAGGAAAGTCTCACGTCATTCTATAAATCTGAACTTTATTGTGTAATTCATCTTTAATTAAGAATAAAAATGTCTGATTTCAAATAAGGAGTAGTAGTTAAATGTTTATATTATTATTTTCAGCATGCTTATACTTTATTTGTTTGACTATTGTAAATCTTTATAAATTAGATTTATATTGCATGCTTTAATTTATTTGTTTGAGTTATATATCGTTGAAATATTATTTGATAATATGTTTTAGTATTTTGCTTAAGTAAATTAATACCCCGCTAAACGTACTCCATTGATTAAAATTCAAGTCTTATCTGAGATAAACTACATCACCCATCATAATTAAATTAGTAGAAATATTTTTTCGTTGAAGAATATTTCACTAAAGTGTTTATTCCATTCGACAAAATATAGAACTAATTTATAAGTACAATTGTTTGTGATCATGTGATGGTTTTAACTTACTTAAATTAGCTCGAGTCGCCCAAGTGTCGGTGTTAATTTAGGGATGTCGATCGATTTAAAAATTATCAACCAAGAGTTGCATGGACGCAATTGGTCTAGGGACCTACCCATTATATTATTGCAATGATCAGCCAATGTTGGGACTGTAGTAGTGTGAATGATGATCTTGGCCGGCCACTACGATTGTAAAACATTTCATGTTCTTTTTATTAGGGTCAAAGAGCATGTAAAAGTAGTGGGAGCTAAATAATTAAAAGTCCGAATTATTAAGTTAACTAAATGTGATCATATGAATTATTATATGAATTTTAATTCCCATCCTATTTGAACTGCTCTAGACTTTTAGGAAGTCGAATTTTCATTGAGAAGTATCTTGGATACAAATAATCTGACTGGACTAGACTTTCTAGACTTCGAACAAAATGTGTGTTTAATGTTTAGGCAAGAAAATATTGAGCATGTGTTTGACACATGTGTACCCGAGATTCCTAATCTCGACTCTCCTGAATGAGTAATGTTTGACATGGACATTCAGAAGAATCACATTGCTAAGGTAAGCTCTACTGCTGAATCTTTTCCTATGGGAAAGAACAAGCAAAAGATGAAAAGTAAGGTTAGGCCTAAGCCTTTAGCTTTGAAATCTAAAGGTAGGATTCAAAAGAAACCCAAGGTACCAAAGGATGTATGCCTCTACAGCAAAGAGAGGCATTAGACGAGAGATTTTAAGCTATGTAGGGCTAATCTAGCCAAATCACAGAGTGCTTTTAGCTTAGGTATTTTTATCATTAATATTATTATGTCTACAACTAACTCTCACTGTTGGGTATTAGATACAACGTGTGGCTCACACGCTGGAATAATGTGTAAAATCTAAGTGACAGTAAGCAGTTAGACTGAGTGAATTGGCCTGCGTATAGGAAATGAAGCAATAGTTACCGCTAGGCGTGTAGGGATTTCCTTCCACTTTGTTGATAACACTTGTTGTTTTTCACAAAATGGTATTGTGTATGGAAATACTCGTCTTATGAATGATTCATATATTCTTACTTGTAGGCATGACATATTGAATGTCCAAAATAAGACACCAAGGTTAAGCAATCAGAAAAATACCACTTATCTTTGACATTGCAGACTAGGCCATTAGATTAAGTACATTAGATTACTTAAAACCATTTGATTTTGAATCATATGGTCATTGCAATTCGTGTCTCTCAACTAAAATGACGAGTAAACCTTTTCTTGGAAAAGGGTTGCGGGCCAAAGAAGTGCTTGATTTGGTTCACACACGTGTGTGGACCATTCGTAACTCAAGCTAGAGGAGGGTTTTCTTACTTCATCATATTTACTGATGATTTCTCTATGTTTGGATTTGTGTATCTTATGAAACACAAATCAAAAGCTTTTGAGAAATTCATGGCGTATAAGGCTGAAGTAGAGAAGCAACTTGACAAGAGTATCAAGACTCTACGATCTAATCGTGGAGAGGAATACTTGAGTAAGGAGTTTCTTGATTGCTTGAAAGGTCATGGAATTCAGTCACAATGGGCTCATCCAAGAACACCTCAATTGAATAGGGTTTCTGAAAGGAGAAATAGAACCTTGTTGGTCATGGTTAGGTCCATGATGAATTCCAGGTCTCTTCCAACATCTCTTTGGGGGTACGCATTGGAAACCTCAATATACATTCTGAATAGAGTTCCATCTAAGTTATTGCAAAAGACACCATATGAGTTATGGTGGAATAAGAAGCATATTCTCACACATATTAAAGTGTGAAGGTTGCCTTACATATGTGAAGAAAATGAACATTGACTAGTTGGGACCTAGAATTGAGAAATATTATTTTGTGGGGTATCTGAAGGAAACTAGAGGATACTAATTTATCTTCCAGAGGGATATAAAATCATTATTTCAAGACAAACAAGATTCCTAGTATAAGTTTTGGTCTTTAAGGAATGTAATCGTAGGAAGATAGAACTTGATGAAGTTCAACAATCACAAAATAACATAGAGGACGAAGACTTGTTAGATGGTCAAAATAAGGATTCAGTATGAGAATTGAGTGGAAGCATGTCTCTAGGAGGATGTCTTTGAGCTAGTGGGGGTAATATAGAATTCACCTCACATCGGAAGTGATTCTTATTAAAGAAAGATATGACATGGTTGTCATTCCTTCTGCACCCACTTCTCCTTCTCTGGGAAACACTTTAAAGTGTAGCACCAGAAAACTCCCCGAGCATTGGACAATATAATGAAAGAGAACCTCTCCACAATCAGAATGAACAGCCTGAACAAACGCAAAATATTTAATTTTGTAGGTCTACTAGGATTCGTCATGAATCAACTATGGGTGGCTTCCTCGTGAAGGATCATGACGATGTTGACATTCCTGACAAAGATGACCTTAAGACCTACACTGAAGCAACATTAGATGTTGATTCAGAGATGTGGCAAGAAGCCATAAAATCTAAATTCAAGGAGGATGCGTACATGGTACAACTTGAAGGTTTATGTATCCAAGCGAAATTCTAAATCAGTATGTTAATTGGAGAAATCCATTTATGGGCTAAAATAAGCCTTTAGGGGTTGAAATATTAATTTTGTTGAAATAGTCAAATCGTTTGACTTCATCAGAAGAAATAAAGGTGCTTGCGTGTTTAGAGTGCGCAATAGGGATAACGTGGTCTTTATAATCATAAATGTTGATTATAGAGAATGATATCCCCTCATTGAAGTCAGTGAAAGAAAGGTTACCCAAAATCTTCATGAATATCTTTTTGTTTATGGTGGACACAAAAAACTAGTAGAATTTAATTATTCTAACACTAGTTTCATATATGATAAGAAACGAGTCACAATTAGTATATGTTTTCAGCCCCAGTGGAACATTAGTGTTGAAAGTGTTGCAAGTAAGAGACCATTATAAATTTGACAACTACAACCTAGTAAATTTTTGCATTTGATGCACCTTTGGTAAGCATTTAGATACGCGAGTGATAGCCGTTATATTTACTTGTGTTTAACATAAGTATTTATAAGTATTTGTTGAAGAAAGGAAGAGAAATCGGGCAAATACCTCCAGAATGAGAGCTAGAGCATAAAACATTGCGATGAACGACTTTTTAGACCAAGAGAATGACGTTCTGCCCATAATTTGAGTATAACGTATTCTATAGAACTCGAAGTCACTCGATTCGAGTTTCATGTGAATGCTAACTCAATAAGGTACAAATGTTATGAAGACGTCATGGCCAAAATATGAAAGGAACAAGACTCA